CAAAGACAGTATCAATGACAAGAGCCTCTGTTGATCTTGGAAAGGGCACATATTACACTTGCATGGTGTGTATTTTGACGTCTGCTGGCTGTGGCCCTGCAGCAGTGAACTACATCAATACATATTCTGGATGTAAGTAAAAATGATAATGTTATGATAGTGAATATATTGGTTTATAATAGCTCCTGTTGGGCCTCCTCAGTCATTGAGTGTCAATGCTACAGACCTATCAATACTGATAGACTGGGAGGCTCCATTTGATCCATTGAACATCATAACATCATATGCTATCACGTATCAGTTACTTGATACTCCAGTGTCTCTTGCAGTGCCTCGTCCTGTAGCAACAGTGTCTGGTATAACGAATACAATGTATTTATTGGAATTAGTTTTATCAGCATCTTCGTACAACATAACAGTTTATGCTAATACTTCTAATGGGACTGGAATAGAGAGTGAGCCAATAGCCATAACTACTCAGAAATCAGGTACACAAATGCAAATTGTTTTAACCTATAGCAAAACTAAGAAGCATTTTTTGCATTGACTATACCCTATGCATAGCCTTAAGCCATAAGTTGAATACCATGGGCAAAAATAATTGAATATTTTGTACCATAGGATGCCTTTTTTCAAGGGCTATATATTCCACAAATTTAATGGATTTTGTCGCTATTTGCAAAAATAAACTCCTCAAATTAATTGTTTATGGGTGTGGAATTGGGATAAAAATTGCAAAATTTAATACAGCAAAATATACAGCCGCTAAATTTATAGCCCTCAACAAAGGTGCCCTATGGTATGTGTATAATTTTAATGGATCTAATTGTTTAATTTTTTATGGATCTAATTGTTTAATTTTTTATGTTTAGGTACTCTTTTAAATTTTATGTGTTCCGCTGCCAGCTCTACAGACATTAATTGTTCATGGGAAAATTTATCAAATGATGACTATCAGCTTCATTACTCCATCCTCCCCAGTTTCAACTATTATGCAAACAATGAAGGTACTATCAATGAGGGACGTATTCATGACTTGAAGCCATATGTTGGATATGTAATTTCACTCCAATTGTCTAATACCAATCTAATGAACACCGTTGTTTTAACACAACCTGAAAGTAAATGAATCAATTATATACTGTGTTTATTTATTAATACCTTTTCACATGATAGTTCCCACTGCTTCTGTTGAAGACATATCATTTAATGTATTAACTCCAGATTCTTTTACTCTATCATGGAAATTACCTCCTAAAAATGAGTGGAAAGGAATAATTGAGAATTTTACAATCAAAGCTGTGCCTATAAAATCAATAGGAGAAAGTGAAGGGCTATCTACATCTT